TAGAATTGAATATCGAATAAACTTAATATGTAATTTTTATCGTTAATTATTATTATTAATATTATAAAAGTAAAATATTGTTTATCTGCGGTATCCTTTTATATTATATCAGTAAAATGTTTTCTTTCAAATAATTCAGGAGATGGTGCCATATATTAATTCTTATTTCATCTTATCTTTTTGACTTTGAAAAAATGTCGTGGACATTTAAGAGGTAGTGCTGAATATCAATTCTCAAAGGAGAGTAAGAATTGAATATCAGCGCCGTCTCTTGAATACTTGAATTTAAATACTATTTAAAATGTTTTCTTTTAAAAAAGTTCTAATAGTGCCATGGATCAATTGTTCTTCTATTTTACCCTATTTTCAGAAAGATATCTATGGCACTTAAAAAATAGTTATGATTATATTACTCTATCTTTAACCTATTTTTATTCTTTATTATTCTTGTATATTTTACTGAAGTATATTTGGTTCATAATATATGTAGAATATATATGCTCAAGAGATAGTGCCTATATATGATTAACTTCACATTTTTTTTTATTTAGAACTTAGAAATCTCAATATAGTCTATTGCATAAATAAGATTCAGACGTTGCAAGTGTACAGTGTACAGTATATGTTGCTTTCTGTAAATCTAGAAGAATTGTAGATTAAAAAAATTCTAAAAATATTATAATTTTTAATATTTGATTAATATCTTATCAATTATAATTATATAATACAATACAATACAGTACTATTTTTTTTCAATTTTTATCTGTTTTGAGATTGTTAGTAATATCGATTCAATTCATTGACTTTTATTCGTTTAAATAATTTTCTATTGAACTTCGCCCTTCACGATTTTACCTTTCAAAGTCTCATTTAGGCATCTTTTCTGCAAGATTTAGAATAATTGGTCACGAAATTTCTACGCAAGACCGGGATGCAATCGACAAAACATGCCTTGGTAACGCACAATACCGCGATTCGTCTATTTTTGCAATCGTATCAGGCAGTTGGACACGCACGACGAATAGGTGCGGGTCACTGCATTGACAGCCGTGGGTAAAAAAACTAACCTCTACGATTCGCGTTTAATTCGCGCGCGTGCACGCCGATTACGTTTTATAATTAAATCCAGGTTCCTCTCGTTTTCGAGAGGGGCCCGTGGCAATTTGGTTGCTGTCTAAAACACTGGACGTGGCTGTAATTGGAATGTCCACATGAAGCTGATGAAGTTTTTGCTTCGTTACTTTCCACCAGGTATGCCAACCGAGCGGCATGAATTTTTGCGGAAATTAACGCGTGTCGCCAACACCTCGAAAACGATGTATCTCTCTCTGATGTATCTTTCTTCGTTTTATAGGTCTCGCCTTGGAGTATACTCAAGGTGGAGATATCAAGACGAAAATGATCGATCTTCTGGACTTATCTGCCGAGTAATTAAATTTTTTAATATCAAGCTTCTTTTTTTGTACCTTAGAACTTGAATTTGATACTTTTATTCTTTCGTCAAGAGTATATAATAGAAATGCTACTTCGTCTTTATCTCATAAAATTTTCTCCGCGAACGTTTCATACAATTAATCGAAAGAATTATCGTATACAATATTAAATGACAAACAATCCTTTACTTACCTGTGTTACAAAAAATTTTCTCTCAATCTCTCTTGCTTTCCTTTTATTAGATACATAATTACATTCATAAAGTTAAAATAATTTAAAAAACAAAATCTCGCAGTAACAACTCGAAGCGCGATTACAGTCGTAAAAAAAAAAAAAAGAACAAAAGAGAAAAAAAAATACAAAACAGAAAAAAAAGGAGAGTTAGAGTCGCACGTCACAATTAAGTTGGTTAGATTATTTAAAAAAAAAAAAAAAAAGAAAAGAAGAGCGCGCGTAGGTGTATAATTACTTGGCGGCAAATAGACTAGTGTACGTGTCGTTTTGCAGAACGGACATAAGAGCATTAGCGGAGAGCATAAAAGCGGCCGAGCCTGTAATAACCGAAAGTGTAATGGAGCAGTTAGTGGAGACCCTGCAGAAGCTGCAAGCCAAAGTTTGCGATACAAACCCGAAGCGTTACTACAAATACAAGACCTTGCAGACTCATCTTCTGCCCCTCACGAATATCGCGTTCGATAAACTAGGTAAAAGGTACTCCCGATTAAGATTGTCCCACCACAATTCTAAATTTAGTTATCATGAAAGTAGTGTAAAAGGGTAAATCAGAAACGGATGGTATATTTTTAAAATATAAATTATCTTGTAAATTCAGCTATTGAAAATCTGAAATTACAACTATTGATACGTTATTCAAAATTATTTATTTCGTAGATATATTAATTATTTTAATATTTTTGTTCGTAAATTCGCAAAAGTTGCATTATAAAAATATTTCAAGAAATATTTATATTTATATCTAGAATAATCTAATCTTATAATGTCTAGGTAAAGAAGACTTAAAGAAGATCCGAGAGACTGGTATCTTTTGTAAAAGTTTATTGCAAAAGTAACTCGTGAACATTCGTTGTGCTATGTTCATATTACCTATTTCATTCTTAAAATGAGCGGGATAAGCTTCTAAAGTTTGACCATCTATTTCAGAATTACCGTCTACATCCTCCTGAAAAGTTTTTACAAAGAGAATAATAACTCCTTTATCATCTGGGATTGTGGAAATGTATCTTTAACAAAGTTTCTTGCAAATTAGTATCTAAAACTGTTTCCATCCTTAATTTGATGAAAACAGAAATGCGGAAGTCATTAAGTTCAATACTCCTTTTTATCCATCAATTTTACTTCGTTATTCACTTCGTAACTTGGGAAAAATTATTTACAATTCATACAATTCGATACAATTTCAGACGATAAAAGAATTACTGCTTAAATTATTTACAAAATTATATCTTTATTCAAATTTTCAAATAACAACAAGCATTTGAAATTTATAAAAAAATTATTTAAAAACTCATCTTACTTTATTGGCTGTATTAAAGAAATAATAATTTGACTCGATATACGATCTATAAAATTATATTCTCTCAATTTATATTAAAATTTGTTAATAGATGCTTGACAGGCAGCTATGACAGAACGTGTAAAGTTTGGGACATTGACAGTGGAACGGAGCTTCTTACTCTCGAAGGCCATAAGAATGTGGTCTACACCGTGTCCTTCAACAACCCAATTTCGTACGTCTCGTTTAACCATTGCTCTTACAATTCATTTGTACTGCCGTCGGCCGGAAACGAGGATACAGTCTTTCTCATGCGCTCTTTGCCGATGAAACATCTCTATCTAGAGTCCCTTTGTACACAACACCACGTCTTGAAACACTTTATATCATTTCATAACCTAAAAAAAATCGAGATAAAATGTTTAAATAGTAAAAAAAAAAAAAATGATGATACCTTTTACGTATTTGAAAAAAAAAAAAAGTCGTAATGAAGAAGGATTTTAATTTAATTTAAAAAACATTCTCGATTTTAAATTATTTAATTGTTGCTATTAATAATTTTTTTATACATTCGATTTTTAGAGACAAAATCGTAACGGGTTCCTTCGACAAAACCGCAAAAATTTGGTGTTCTCGGACGGGTCATTGCACGGCAACTATGAGGGGTCACAATGCTGAAGTAGTTGTTGCCAAATTCTCGCCAATTTGTACGAAAATCGCAACTGGATCTTTAGACATGACGTCAAGAATATTTGACATAACAACAGGTATCTACATCAGGATACAATCATATGAATTTTGCAGATTTAATCATTTGTTAAATTTAATCCAATTCCATGTTTAATATACTTTTCTCTAAAATTGTGGAAAATATAGTATTTTCCATTCTCAATTTATAAAACTCAAGTTAAATTCGAATCGATTAATGTTTAAATGAATGTAAAACGAGTAAAAGATTTTTAAAAATAAAATAAAAATTCGTTTAACAGGTGAGGAATTAGGGATATTGAGAGGTCACACTGCAGAAATAATCGCTTTGCACTTCAATAACGATGGAAATCAAATAATAACGGGTTCTTTTGACGGCACTGTCAGCATTTGGGATACGAGGATTCTCACGTGAGTTTATTTGAAGAAAAAGAGAAAGAAAATTTTATCCCAAATTAACTTTTATTCCATTTAAAAATATTCATACATCTTTTTTCAAATATTATTTTTTTCAATCAAAATCTTGAAAATTATACAATAATAATTAAAACACGTAAATCCCAAAGAGAAGAGTAAAGAAAGTTTTTGATATACCTAACATATTCTTTTTCTCCTTGTTACTTACTCTCTACTCTACTTCTTTTCCAGTCGCATATGCGTGTTAATCGGTCATCGATCCGAATTATCGAACTGCATTTATAACTTCGATTGCTCGTTGATCGCCTCATCGTCGATGGATAAAACGGCCAAAGTTTGGGACACGAAAATGAACTCGTGCCTGGTCACATTTCGAGGACACGACGACGAGGTCTTGGACCTGACCTTCAACAACAATGGGAAAAAGTTGGCCACTGCGAGCAGCGACACCACAGCCAGAGTTTGGGATGTGAGCACCAATTTCAAGCAGCTAGCCTTGATGAAAGGTCATCGAGAAGAAGTTTCGAAAGGTGATCCAATCATCCTGTTACATACAATGCAAATTTGTTAGAAAAACTTGATCATCCTATGAATATTTTAATATTCATATATTTTAATATTTTAATATTTTAAGTTTTTATTGATAGGGAAAAGTAGATAAAATAATGTAGACAAGAATATAAGTTGATGTTAATAATCTTTTTATTTTTGCAGTAAGAATTGTAAAGTTAACTTTTCTTCCTCTTACTTTATTCACTTATTTTAAATAACAAACTATTGAAAACGTACAGCAGGATAGTTTGTACAAAATAATTTAGAATGATTATCAATACAGATAAAGGATATAAATGGAAATTTATAATTGGAAAGAGAAATATTTAATAGAAAATAATGGAGGAAATTGATACAGTGTGTTTCAGCCCAAATAGTCAACATTTGCTGACATCATCCTTGGACAGAACGTCGAAATTGTGGTCTTTGGAAAAGAATGGATGTTGCATACAGACATTAGATGGTCACACAGACGATGTGTTCAGTTGTGCATTCTCTTATAATGGCGATACTATTATCACAGCGAGTAAAGATAACACTTGTACGATTTGGAGATGACTCGATTGGTTTCAGGTGTGCCCTTAGCTCTTACTTGTGATTTTGTTCATTGTTTATGTCGTATATTTTTATGCACTTTAAAATGTTATCCATTCTTTTATAGATTAAGTTTGAATACTTTCTTAAATGTTTTTCAATTGAAATAAAAGTACTTTTTTTTTTTAATACAATTTGAATTTCAATCAAATTATATTCAAATTTCAAGTTTTCCAGAAATTTATAATGCAAGTGTTTAAAGAGATTAAATTGTACAAGAGGAATCCTAACATTTTGTAAGTGATTTTTAAATAATTTGAGACTTAAGTAGAGATACGGATCTGAGGAAATAAATAGTATAAAAATTATTATAATATATTACAAGCATAGATATCTACAAGAAACATTCAATATTTAAGACATTCGATCACATAAATTAATTATAAATTACAGTAGATAGTAAAAATATTATTGCTTGAAATAAAATTTTTCTAATTTATAATTAAATTCTAAATTTCAAATCCAAATAAACAGTTCAGACAAATTACAAATTGGTATTTATTTGGAATATTTTATGGTTTATTACCCGTTGTAATATCATTGTAATATCATAAAATAAATGTAATTTTCGAAACTCAACGTTACAAATTGTACTATTCTACGGTATTATTCCAGTGTTTCTCAAAGGTCGCGATTATTACCTTTAATCTATTTATTCCAAAATAATTACACTGACATATCGACATAAAAAGATGTCAAGAAAATCTCACAAGATAATTTTAAAAACTTTCATTCCTATAACGAAATCCATTTATTTGTTCATTCGTTCCAACACAATTACCAATGCAAAAGATTAAATCTTTCACACGAGGATAATCGTTTGCAAAGAGAGTCAAGAAGGAAGTTGAGAAACGCTGTGTAATATCCTAATATCCGCATGTATCGCACAATCCAATTGTAAATAACAAAATGAGCTTAATTGTACGGAATGCAATATCTCCGCGAGTGAATTGTTTGCAAAGCACAAATTATTCACACAATTTCTAAATATATTAAATGAAACGTGTATGAAGGTGTAACGAGGAGATGAATATTTGTTAGCAACGGTTTCCATCAAAACCACACCGCGTCGTTTTATAACGAAACTCGTACACGAATACTTGTGGCGGGACGTTTAATTAAAAGTCGCCCCGTTTAAAGAGTGGAATTGCACCTACGTTGCATTGCACGGCAATTAAAACAATATATCGCGTTCTAAAAATTGCGTAACTCTCCACAGTCAGCATTATCAAGGGCGATTAAGTGGCGGTGAGGAGGCGGGTGTAATAATTTTAAAATGAACACTCGTGATCCTCGAAGGAATGTTATTTCTCCTTATATATATACGAGTGGAGTATTTTCAATATTTTTGCAGCGAAGACTCAGCTGGCTGAGAAAATTTTGAAGAGTCCATTGATGTTAATGGATAAATAAAAAGATTATTTAAATAATTGTACGGTTATTGAATATAATTATGATCGAATTCAATTTTCGATAGAAAGTTTGGAAAAAGGATTACACCGTTAAAGGAAATTTCAAGAATGAATTAATTTTGTTAATTTTGATATTCGTAATTTTTTTTTTATCTGTAATGAACAAGAAAAAAAATGGTTCGATTTAAATTTTGAGAACGTGATACGAGATGCGTTCCTCGACTTTTAAAACGACTTGGATTCAATCTCGCTGTATTGATCATATTGTGTTGTTTTCTAAAATAATTTATCATCTAATTTGCATGCGAGGTGAGTAAGAATTATTCATAAATTGGATTCAGATCTGGACGAAATTTAATATGAAATAATGATTTTCAGATAATTATTTTAATTATGTTAACCGTTATTCGATAAGTAATGTTATTTGTTGTTGTTTAAAAGATGATGTTGTTAAAAAATTTGAGGCAAAATGGATAATTGGAATTATTTAAGAAAACGACACTTGGAAATAATATTTAGAATGTACGAACGAATGTGTCGATAGTAAATGAATAATTTATATCGTGAAACGACATATTATTATACGAAAAAGATTAGGATGTTTCGAAAATGATATTAAAAATTAATTTTCGAGTAATTTGATTCAATTGCGACACGAGATTGCAAAGTAAAGATTTAATTTAAATTTCCTCCCTGAAATTAATACGTATGAATTGTGATTTATATTTGGTTTAATTCATATTCAAAATGAATGTGTATATTGTCGTTATTAATAGGAATTTATAAAAGCTTATTATCGTTTAATATCGGTACGAGATGTGATATAATAAATTCAAATATATATTGATTGAGGGAAATTTGCAAAATATTTACGTTACGTGGATGTCGAAGATAAAGGTGTGTATGCGCGTAATTTCTGAAAAGTTGTAATCGACGAAATAAATATTTACGCGTTGATCCCTGTTATTGATCTCGAACGTGTTTATACATTCGTAAAAAAAAAAAAAAAAAAAACGTTTTAAAATATCGTGCACGTTTTGCAAAATGATACACAAGAGATTGTGTTATAGAAGAACGCGAGAAAGGATTGTATCAAATTGGAACGAGTGGTGGATGAATGGAGAGGAATTGTACGAAGTTGTAATATTATTGTCAAGACTTGGAAAATAATAAAATAAAAAAATTATGAATAAATCAACGTAGAAATATCACAACACTCATTTTCTTAATTGTTTCAACATGGTATAGAAACAGTTAAATATAGTGTAAAAATAAACGAAATAACTAATATTATTTTGAATAAAAACATTCAGAAGAATATTGTGATTATCGTGTAGATAAATGTGAAAAATCGTTTCAAATATTTGTCGCGACATGTATCTTCAAACAGGATTGCATATCCATCGAGAAATACCAAATATATGGAAACGTTTCGATGAGTGGGAGAAACTACCTCGAAAGTTCGCGATTCTATACTTATGCGAACAGACGTTATGCTACTGTCTCAGTCGGTGTTCTCTACTCAGTCTCAGTAAGACAGTGTCGCATGATTGGTCGGTTGACAATTCGACGCGCTTTAAACGGGACACCTTTTCTTAAAGTCTCTTGTTCATGAGACAAAAGTTGAACGTATCCAGTGAATGAAGAATTAAGAAAAAAAAGAAATTTAATTAATATCAATTACGAATTAAGATCAACTTGAAGAGTTGAAAAAATCGATGAGAAATTAAAATACAGTTTAACGAAGAATTCGTTTTATAAATACAGATCGGTTTTGATAACATTGGTGTTGAAAGAATGTAATTTAAATAAATCCTTGTTACATTTGAATCGTGAGATTTACGACTTCGTGATTCAATTTGATCGATACAATTACAGATATACTTGTTGAACGTGTGATAATAAAAATTTAAAAAGGAATCGATGGAGTTTTAAGGATTAAAAATATCATCATACGTTAAAATTAAGAAACGCTTAAAAATTGACGAGGATTGCTTTTCTTCGTGAACTCTTCGAAAAGAAATTACATTCAAGCGTGCCATCGATCAGGAACAATGTAAAGAATAGTGATCGATTCGTCGCATGTCCTTCGCTCGGAATATTCAATTTTGTATAAGGAAATAACGCAAGAATCTTTCAAGGCTAAGTAATCGACGTGAAAGTTTGAAGAGAAGATTGGTGGCGTGATTCGAGGAAACAAGTGGATAAGTTTGTATGTGGGGGATCGTGACTAATGGAGTACAGGTGCACGTAAAGGTATTGTTTATCAAATTATGAATCTGACAAAATAAAATTTTTTTCGAATATCGAGAAATATCGACAAATTTTTCTGAAATACAAGTTGAAAAATACAAGTTTTTACGAGTTTAATCAGTGACAATTGATCGTAAGATAGCGATTTATCGCTAATGTTTAAAGTTTGACGTTTTTGCATATTACACGTTGCACGAGGATATCGTTACATTAAATATCACAATGTTTAAGAAACTAAACTGCCTTGTTTAAGAAGATAGGAAATATCTTTTCTTTCATTGTTTCTTCTTTACGTTATTTTATATCATTCGATTTTGCATTTTTGTTTTCTCTTTTTAAAAAAATTATATATGGAGCTTACATTTTATTTTAATTACTTATTTATTATTATTCTACGTGAAAAGAATTTTTCTTAAAAATTTGTAAAAAAAAAAGTTTAATCGAAATGAAATAAACATATTCAATATTTTTCTCAATCTTATAGAAAACGCATATCATACTTATCTGTAAACAAGGTCAGGCACAACAATTACTCAAGATAAACAACAAACAATGATTCAGAAAAATGTAAAAACATCCAATTTGATAAGAAATTATTTCCCAATCTATTTTCCGCGAACGTACATTCAGTTTCTCGTCAAAGTGTCACTAAATCTCATAATAACTCCGATTAAACTGTAATCACGCTAACTGCACCTGGATTCACGTCACCAGAGAGTCATAATCATAACGTAAATATCGTATTCGAAGATGAGGAATCGTGCATTTTTTTCTTTCTTCGACGAAACTGGGAAAAATAAATTTTTGCAAATAAACTTTTATATGAGATAACATTTAAACAATAAATAAATAGCGTTTCAAGTACGTATATTAATTGGAAATCATAAAAATATTATCTCGAGGAAAATATGAGATATATCTCATTGAAATATAAAAAAAAAAGAATAATATTTCAAAGGCAATTTTTAATTTTAACATTTTATAGTGTGGTATAATGCAGGGCTTTGGGCCCAGATGCTTCAAAGAATTACCATTTTTCGCGACCTAATTGCTCATAATACATACTTTAAGAGGAAAAAGAAATTGAGTAAAAAAATATCGTTGTACGTAAACGTATTGAATGAATAACGAGATTTGTACAAAAAATTTATTTTTGCTGATGATTCTGCAGTATTTCTGATATAATTGTAAATTAATAAAACGTAAATAGAAATATCGATCTACACGAACTACGTGAAGTAAAAACGTGAAGCATCTTTTGCATTCACCATTTAAATAATAAATTGTATTTGTTCATGATTTAAGCATTTTCAAATTTGCACAAACGTTAAACGTTAAAATAAGATGTTTAAACAGTATTTAAATGAAATGTTAAACTTTTTAGTTTTTTCTTTTTTTTTTTGTCTGAAACTATTACAAGTCCTCGTCAATTCTGTGGCTCTGGAAACCGGTTTTACAGCGTTGTGCGTATTTTATTAGACTGACACGTTCTTTCGTGGTCCAAGAGAAAGGAAATCTCTTTAGGCTACAGATTAAAACGATCTCGTTGTAATCGATTCGAGCGATTATCTCGCGTTGCTTCGAGGCGACGAGTAATTAAAGAATTTCGTAAGAGGGTGGATCAAAGGGATTGAGGTGGATGAAAGAGTGAGAAGAGATTTAATGCAGTTTTAAATTTAATGGTTTCGATATTTAATTCGAAATTTTCGTATCGAAAACATTCAACCAATCAAAAGTGTTATTTTTATTTGCAACACGTATTGCAACATTGACACCAAAAATATGATTTCTCAGCAAATTCGATCAAAATAAAAGAATGTCGAATACGCATTTTATCTGTGCCATTGTACAATGAACGCGATCAATTCTCTCGCGAAAAGAATGATTTACATAATCTAGAAATCGTTCACGAGTATATATCCCTATTTCAAATCTACTATTTCTCATTTAAAGGAGCAACGAAACCGTCGACGTCGCGTCAATTTTAGCCAAAGCATTTTAGTCAAAGCAAACAAAGCGATCGGAAAATCTGAAGAATTCGTCTTAGCCTCAAGCGAATTCAACGAGTAAAAAAGGAAAAATGGAAAGAATGCAAAACACTTTGGAACATTTTTTATTTCTGTTTTAGATCATTCCGTTTCAGGTAATTAGATTTAACTCTCTAAGGAGTCCAAAGTGTTACGTACTTTTAGAATTCAACGCCTTAAAAGGTGATTCCATTGATGAAAAAGATTCACGTATAAATCATTGTAACAGGAATCAAGCTAATTTTTACACCCTTGGCCAAGGTACAAGTGTCTTCGTTGTAGCCCCTAATTAGCAACGTCAGTGAGAAAAGGGAGAAGACAGGCGACGGAAGCGAATTAATTAACAGAGCGATCTCGGTTGCGTAATTATTGCCGTGGAAAAAATTTTTCGAAAAAATAATTAATGCAGATAATAAATATTAAACGTTGTAATCTACGAAAAGAATCTATCGACCGAAAATAAAAAGAAGAAAACCAAGTCGAATTAACCTTAACGGGTTAATCTTGTTCCAATAACGTTCCAACACGGTTTCATTTATCACATCCATTTTGTTCTGGTAAAAACTGTCCACAGGTTAGTAAATATTTCTAATATAAATTTATATATAATCCTTTGTATATATCACACCTGTGAGAAAGTTTGGCCGTGCCATAATACGCACTGCACCACTTGAAATATTTATTTTAATCTGCTCGGTATATCACGAGACGTAGTGCATACGTTCCCAACAAATTTCTCCCTGTATAGCAATCCAGATTTACCTTTTTAATATATGGCCGGGCATTTTTCTGACACGAAACACGTTTCAGATGTGTTTCTAAACGCGTCACGAGTCACGATTTGAAGCCAAAAATTTAAACGTGCAATTTTTATTTATTAAGAAACGTATCGATTATCATATAAATATCATTTTAATCGATAACTAGTTATAGCAGATTGAAATTCACGAATGAAATATAATCAGGCCAGATTAGATTAGATGAGCGATCTAGTTTCATCGTCATCGAAATTTCAAAGATATTTCCAATATCTTGAATTACCTTCTCTCTATATTTACACATTTATTTATCTTCTTATCCTCTCTATCTTATCTACCCACACCTCCCCTGCTTAATTTTTCTAAAAAATCTTTCTTCTTCATAAAGGAGCATTTCCCAAGTTACCTATCTGCTTAAAAGAATAACCCCTTGTAAAAAAATTGCTCCAAGCCCTGACCTATCATCGCCCCCAATAAAAATTCCTTCGAAGCGTCGTTTCGATCGATCTTTAAAATTCCGTGAAGCCACGAATATTTCTCTGGATCTGTGTACGTAATCATAAAAAAAAAAAGGAAAGAAAGAAGGAAAAAAAATCAAAACGAGGCAACGATAAATAAAGTGTCCTGTCAGCATACACGCGTACTCCACCGCTCGAATCGAACGGATGGGTGGGTGGGTGGTCCTCCTCGCGATAAAGCACGAATTCGCGCTTCCTTCACGGTAATAAAAACCGAGATACAGACTGTTCTGCAACGGTGGACGGTTCTATGCATTGACTCTGAGCGTACGGAGAGATAAAGCGGCTTCTCTTCTCGGCGATTTATAGGCTGGTGGATTTTCACGCGTGGAAATTATAAGGGTAATTAGATTTGGGCACGAATGGGTCGGAGATAAGGGAGGAGGATGGACACGGCGATGAATATTTTCGGATTATTTTATGAGGGGATTTTAGTCCTTTCATCGGAATTGTTTTTTTTTTTTAATATCTCCGAAAGTTTACAATTCGAGTTTCATTTTGGTTTTGTTATTTAATTATTTTAGTTGAAAATTATTTGTAATCATTACACGTTTACATTAAGTGTATATCGAAGTAAATAAAATTTTTATTTCCAATTTACTTGTAGATAATATTGCAATTTCTTTAAAAAAAGAAAGATGATCAATTTAATAAATATATTGTAAACAAGTGTGTATACAGCATAACAATATCCCCAGTATTATTATTTTCAAATATTAACGCGAGTCACTGCATATTCAACGCAAGTTTTAACAATTGAAATTTCCAATTGGATTTGCATGCGTTCTGTTTTGCAATAAAACTCGATGGAATTAAAAGGGGTCCGTTTTTACCATCTTTGTGCTTTCTTCCAAGAAGAGCAGGATATTGCGTTTCTGACAACGCTCGCTTGCATAAATTCTATGTAATTAAAGACAAAAGGGAGAGAAAAAGTTTGCAAATGAAACGTGTATATTTTATATTTTTGTAATAATTACTTCTACTAGGTAGGTAATTACTACTATACAAGGCAATGAATAAGGAAAAATCGTACGTGGAAAAAGCGAAAGTCAGCTGAAACTAGCTTGTTTCGTTATTACTGTTATTGCGCGCCTTCTCCTATAAATTACGGATATTGTTATGAAAATAGACAAAGCGAATGTAAACTGTTCCAAGAAGTTTACAAATGGGTTTAAACACTAAATAAATTCTTGGAATCAAAATACAATTCTACTTTTCTGTATAATGAATCGATCTTTTTAAAAAAATAAATAGGTTAAATTTTAATAATAATTTTAAAATAAAAATTGGATCAATTTAATTTCTGATTCAAATATCAATATAGCGAGAAATTGCAAACGTCTCGAGGGGGATGATTGAAAAATATTGAAATTGGAGGAATATTAAAAAGGTCTGATAAACGATGGTGAATTCGATGCGCGCAATCGCGGGAGAAAATCGGTAATGGGGAAATCGTGTTGAACTTAAAGATGTCTCTGTTCGAGGGCTCTTATGTTGGAAAAAACCGCGATCGATCTTTATCGCTTCTTCCTTTCGTTTTGTAACTAAAGAAAAGTGTAACGAGGAAGCTATGACGATTGTTAAACGCGAGAATTAATTTCGCTGCGAGAAAGATGAAAAAGTATTTGGAATAAAGGTCATTTATGACAAATAAATTCTAGAATCTTTAATCGATTTCAATGTTGTTGTGCAAACTTTCGGAGTATTCTGTTAAGAAGACAATTTCTAATAGAAGTAATATCATGATTGGAGAAGAGCAGATTGTAAAAAGTCATATTTTTATTAGTCGAAGAATTAAGTTGTTATAAGAATAATACGAACGGATTGTTCGAAGACGCTTTGCTCAAAGACATTCCATACAGACTGCATAATTTAACCGAAGCATCTATTACCTTGTTAGTTCGATCGTTGCCAGCTCCATTATGGTTCATTCGCACGTCTCAACGGATTGTCTTACCGTTTGAGAATGCACTGAATTTATTGTTTGCGATCCACAAGTGTGATGGCAAAACAACGTAACTCGAATTTTTTGCCGGGTGAACGAAAGAGTTCCTATTTTTGAATTAACAAGATCTTTTTCTTTTTTTCAGGCGAAACTATGACCGGGATGGACAATCTTGGATACGACGCGAATACAGAAAATGCGGTGAGTGGATGAATATTCGTGATAAACGCAGAGTTAGATCACATAAAAATTCCCTTCCTCCTCCTTTATTATAAATTAACAAATAATCTAATAATGTAATTAACATTATTCGGTGAAAACAATGTCAAATTTTACGCAATACTATTATATCTTCCATATATTGGTCGAATCTACAATTATACATAGATCGAGTATTTATGCAAATTTGAACTGGTGTCGAATGCAAATTTTCGTAGAAATCGGGGCAAAATGATATTGCGCTTGTTTATTCGCTTGTGGGATAAGATGAAAGGCTGGTTTGCTGGCGAAATTTCTGGATTATCGGTCGCGAGATTAGAACAAGCTTGAGGGAAAAAAAGATCTGATAAGAAACAGTGGGTTGGTGTTTTAAAGTTGCTTGAACTTTGTTGAATCATTTTCGTTGTAATCGTCGGATAGCAAGCTGTTCAACTTTCGAACAACTATCGCCCGAGGCGTTGTTTAATTTTTAAAATTACTTTAGTATGGTTTATTATAAAGGGAAAATTGTTGGAAAATAAGGTTTTATTACGGTGAATTTTTATTGCGCAAAATTGATTATTGTGTATGCAGATAGAATTTGAATAATGAAAGAATGTAGAACGAATCGAACGTTCCATTGTTTTTCTCAATAACAAATATTCTGAAGAGGATTCCATGAACATTCTCAACAAGATAAATTTTGGATCTATCTGTCATAAAATCATTTCAAGACTAATGAAAAATACTTGATATATTTTTTCCAATAACAAATATTCTCAAGAGGATTCTGTGAACATTCTCAAGAAGATTTTCTAAACATTCTGAAGAGGATTCTGTGAACATTTTCAAGAGAATTCTATGAACATTCTCAAGAGAATTTTACGAGCATTTTCAAGAGGACTTTATAAACATTTTCAAGAGGATTTTGTAAACATTCTCAAGAGGATTTTCCAAATATTCTCAAGAGGATAAATCTATCTATCATAAATCATTTCAAATCTAATCAAAAATACTTGATGTATCACCCAAATAACTTTTCCCCAATAAGAAATATTCTCAAAAGGATTCTGTGAACATTCTCTGAAAGAAGATCATTTCGATCCTAATCAAAAATATTTGAATCACCCAAATAACTTTTCCCCAATAACATATATTCTCAAAAGGATTCCATTTCCAAAAGGATAAAAAAAAAAACTTGAAACTTACTCCCCGATATTACTATCTACACGGTCGAGGGCCACGAAAGGATCGCTGAAAAATACAACGATAGGAAGAATCGACAAAGATGTTTGCCTAAAGAATATTGGCCGGATGAAAGCGGTTTTCGGAAAGTCAAGCCGAATTCTTGGAAGAAGTGGTGTGTCGTGGAGAAGCTGTGGCACAATGCGCGTGCAACGTAAACTCGTTTCGAGACCTCTTTTATTCGCCCAGGTTATCCCGATCCTACTTTTCATTTAAAAAGGGAGTTTGGTGCGTCCGTGAAAGCAGGTTCGCGCCATTTTCGATACGTACCCAAACTATGCATTCTGGTGGAGGAAACGGAAAAAGGAAATGAAAAGGGGTTGTTTCCTTGCCAGACTTTCCTATTATTAAACCTTTGTTAATAGAGATGTTTGTTCGAGAAAATATTTCACGAGTTAAATGTTAAACGTTTCCTTCGAAAGTTTTTCTCTAATTCTTTCTTGAAGAAGAAAGGAATTGTGATCGTTGTGGATTTCAAACAATTATTCGAATCTTCTCGTTATTTTTCAAGGAATAAGGATCTTTTTGAAGATGCGTACTAATTTTATTATATAAGTATTCTTCAAAGAGAATATAATTAGATATTAATCGTAATTGAGGATGCTGTTATTTATAATCGAAAATAGAGATACGCCATTACATAAATGAAATTCCTTTTCATTTATCGTCGGGAAAACATTGTTTCAATAGGAAAGCGATTAATAAGCTGTTCGATTGTTATTATTGCAATTATGATCGGTTTGTGGAACCGTATATGAGATTGGTAATAGTTCATTTCCGTGGTTGCGGTATGCGCGGTCCGATTCGATCGAATTGCAATTTCGAGATGCATTCTGTACATACATATATGTATATATATATATATATATGTATATCGAAACTGTAATTAAAAAATGCTTGGCAAAAATTTTCCATCGAGGAATCCTGTGTGATTTATCAATTCTACTTAATCGATTAAGACCTTGTTAAGGTAAAAACTTTGAATTGATCCTTAAAACAATTTATACCGATGAACGCGCGATAAATACCTCGAAACGGAAGAGAAAAAGCCGAAAAAAACGGCAGAAAAAAAGAAGAAAATTCGAACGCGCGTTCACCGACAAACCGCAAATCACTCTCCACCTTCCAATATCCCGGAACGGACGTCAAAAATACATCTCATGAAAACACATATTCTCCCCGTTCAATCTAACCGACTAACTCCGATAAATCTCATCAATCTTCCCAATCGCTCTATCCACCTAAAAAAAAAAGAAAAAAGAAGAATTAAAAGAAAAAGGGATAAAAATATAGAGAGCGCATAGAGGGAGGAAGAAGAGGAGAGAAATTCGACGAATCAAAGGAGAGATACGCGTATGAATGGCAATCCAGGAGAAAAATGAGATCATTCACCGGAGGCGAAGCACGGCAGATGACGGAAGCCCCAATTTCCCTGGACGCGATTTTCCGGGAGGGAGGAGAATGCCGAGAGATTGACGTTGAATATGGGACGAAAATTTCGACCGATCTACATATTTTACACACGGCCCCCCCCCCTTCCTTCTTTGTTCGCCCTGCTTGCTCGCCATTGTTATCGTTGGTATTATCAATGGAAGGGACGAGTTGCGCCGCGCGGTTAATGCCTGCGGGCCACGATTGTGCCGCAATTACGAGGAGTAGCGGCATGACGAAGATGTCGAAGAGAAAAATAATGGTTAGAAAGTGGAGTGGAGGGTGGGGATGGAACGAGTATCGTCGAAATTGATGGGCACCGGTCAAAAATCCGTGGGAAGTGGATGATGAATCGCAATTGCGATCGAGGAAACGGAATCGTCGTTGAGGTTGTTTAGGTTGCGTAGTATCTTGATTAATGTTATTTTTCAAGGAGGATTTGAATTAATTAGATTAAATAGGGGAGCGATGATTTTCGAATAATTATTCGGGGAATAATTTTTTAATCTCGATGGATCTCTCCATTTTCGAGTTTATTTTCGAGATTGCCAAAATTCTATGTAAAAAAAATTCTACGAAGCCAGAGCTTTTTCGTTTTTTATCGAGATCAATCGTGTCCCTCTTTACCTTTTCTATTAGGAATAAAAAAAAAAAGAAACTTTGCATTTTCCCGGATCAAGTATTCTCCATTCCAATCATCCAATATCTAGCTTTTTCAAAAAAAACTCGATAAAAAATCCTCAAAGAAGGTTAAAAATAAGCTGCACGAGAAATGAAGAAAAGGGAAGAGCAAGAAGGTATTTAAAAACAGGCTGGATCGATCGAATAAAAAATTGTAATCTCGATTTATTCTTTAAAAGTAATAACAACAAAGCAAGCAGTATATAACAATCACCAACACAGAAATCGGATTCCATCCACTTTCTTACTTACCGAAAGAACTTACCTTCCTTCCTCGTAATAAAAACCCGAAAGAGAAAAACCGAAAAAAAAAGAGAAGCAACGAGTCATTAACAAGAAAAATTCCAATCAATCGTACCAGATATCATCCATTCCCCCCCCTATTTCCCTCGAAAAGAACAAGTATGCGTTGTGCGACGCAGAGGCAGAGAAAAATAGGAGGAAGAGGGTAGAGAAGAGAGGGTGGAGGCATTCGTTAGTCGCGTTCGTCGGATGAAAACTATGAAGGATGGGGAACACAGGGAGTCGCGAACGAGCGATTCAAGCGAAACGGCCGGCTAAATAATTGGCAGAGGGAGGGTTTCGCGAGAAACGCCGGCCGGGCGCCATTTAATCTGGATTAACAAGCTGTTTGACGTATTCACTTTATGCCCGGCCACAAATCGAGTTACTTCTGAATGGAGTCGTTAGGAATGCGCGAGAGACTGGCGGGAAAAGTTTGCCGCGTCTAACTTCCGCCACGATCGAGATATTCCCGCCATATTTGAAGCGTGCTCGAATCGTTTGCGTAACTTATCGGCGATTGAAAGGGGTAATTGATCGATGGTTTTCAGAGCGGTGTTTACGAGCGACCAGTGGATTTCGTTGAGTACAAGTTTTTTATTGTGCGCGCGTGTAAATTTTTCAGGCGAGGCTGAACGTTATACACTTCGGTTTTATATAAGGATCGTATTACTTAATTTGGTATTTCGTGCGATGAAAGTGGTTTACTTAAGAAAAGATAAGAACGAGATTGGGAAAAGTTTGAGAACAGTTTCTTTCTATTGAATTTTCTATTTCAAATTCGGTTAATTTCTATTCGTTGTCCTTTTTTAATAACTAATAATAAATTCATTTTTGGAAATATTGAGGTATCGTGTTTGGAGAAGAAATAGGGATATCTCGATTGTTAGGCAAGTTATGGGAAACGATTAATTGAAAAGGTAATTAACGTCGACGGTTCGAGTATTTAGAGTTGCATCGAGGTTTTGTTGGAGTGTTTCCAATGGGTGTTTGCAGTTTTCGTGTATTGCTGAAGCACTATTTGACGATGGTTTTTTTTATTGAGCTGAACAGTTTGCGAGGAATTATGTTGGGGTTGAGAAATTAATATAAAGCTTCGATTGTATATCGAATTTTTATACTTCGACAATACGCACGATTAACAAATTAAAAATTTCCCAAGCTTCATTGATCCACGAAATTTCTTTCGCGATCGAGATAAATCCGAATTCAAGGTGTTCCTGCCTGCTCGTTACAAGGAACATTAATTACGAGATTTCACTCTCGATTGTGAACTTTCGATTCAACGCCGTGTTACGAAAATACATACATAGAGCGACAAACAAGGAGGAGGCAAGAAACAAAAAGGAATCAAAGAGAAAAAG